AAGTACACTTAGAATTTAAGGTTGACTTTACAGTCCGCGATCGATGTTATGAACTAAACCTCAAACCCAATCTTCATTAACTTAATGTTAAACTATGATCGATGCTGTGAGCTAATCGATGTTATGAAGCAAATTCCCGAACCCAATCTGTTCATAGCATCGATCGATTACTGTATCATTTTTTGCCACATCCCTCAATTTGATGGAGGGGGATGCATTTTCCCCCTGGGTCGTCAAGTGATATTTGCCACAATTTATCAAAACAACCGATGATTTACGAGAGTTAGAGGAGTTTTATAATCAATAAACCATTAAAATTAAATCTTGTAATTTTTCATCAAAATATTTTTATTCATAAACCTTAATAAAATTTGAATCGAAATATGATATTTAACAATAAATATAATCTACAAAATGACTATTAATGACATTTAATATGTGGTCTAATCGGTGGTTCGACCCGTTCTTCTCCTAGTATTTATAGTGTAAGAGTTTCGTTGCCTGAATCCAAATGTTTAATCAATTCTAAAACAAATATTGTTAAAATTTTATTTAAAAATTATATTATTACTACGGTAATTGTTAATACAGTATATATAAACCATAAAGTATTGGCCAATTTTTAATGTGTAAACTTTACACTGTAAAGTATCGCAAATAAAATGACTGAATTTCCTATAACAATTGGCTAAAACTTTGCGGTTCTCCTTATATTATATACCATTTTCGATATGTATGTGAAAACATGGTCGCCGAGATGTGAACGAACTCGAACACAATGGTTGCTCACAAGAACTGCACATATATGCCCCCTGTTTTCGTTGGCCATTCATTTTGCACAAAACACAGTCTTTTTTAATCATTTTTCCGGCAAGATTTTTACCAATTGGTACGAGAATACTGTTGTGTTGAGCGCATTGCTGGTCAATACTCGCCGGTAATCGTGTCCTAAAATCGCTGTCATTGTTGTGTATCTTTTCGTAGTGTTTGCGAAGACACTGTCGGTAAATGCACTGAAATTGACAGCCGCTATGCGAGCAAATGTGCGGTGACTTAAATGTGTGGCCAGTAATTGAACCCAAATCGTGAGTCTTGTGTAAGTGTGCGTTCAATACGGCAATACTGGTGTAGCCTCTGTTCGGACACTCATTTACGGGACACGAGAATGAATTGGTGGTCGGGTCTCTCATGTCTTCAATACTGCTATACTTTTGTCTCAAAGTATTGAATAGTTGTTCATTCTTTGAGCTCTCGATCTGAGGAATGCAACCATTTTGGCCGCAATATAAAGTCTTAGTGTCCTTCGGGTTATTATTAACGTTAATCACAGCATAAGTTTGATTAGTATTTATAATTGGATTTATATTAACGACATTACTATTACTTTGTATATCATTATTAGTCTTCTGTTTCTTAGGTCTACCTCCAGATCTACCTCTAGGTCTGCCTTTCTTTATATGTTTAGTGCTATTCTTTGGACTCTCTTTTGTAGTGTCAATAGTCTTCATATCATTATTCAAATGTTTATTATTATTAAACAATTTGTCTGTTGAGGAGTCGAAGGCTGAGATATTATTGTTGTCACAGTCTTTCAGAAGTCTTGTATTGAAACGGTTAATATCAACCGTCGGTTCACTGGATGTGTGATTACAGTTATCATTATTGGCTTCCAATTCATTCACACGTTTCGTATGATTTGATCCTATAGTTTGATCCAATAGTGATGTCTTGGGCAGTATTTTACGAAAATAATGATCACCAATGGCTGGCAATTGTGACTCTTCTGTCCAGTTATCGTCAGTATTTCCATTGGCTATAAATCTGCGATATCTGTCGACACCAATACTATCCATATTATGGTAATTCTTGAGGTGTTTAAACAAATAGACTGGACTCGTATACGTTGTGTTGCATTTGTCTTCACAGCATTTATACGTGGGTTTGTGTCCAACGTCTGGTGCCATCGACTTCATCGTACGGTCGCCGCAGTTGTTGTCATTATTATTTGCATTCAATTCATTACCAGATATCGTATGATTTAATACTAAAGTTGGATCTAATAGTAAAGTCTTGGGCATTATTTTACGGAAACAATTATTAATAATGACCGGTAATTGTGGTAAAGTTTTTTCGACAAACATTACTCTATCATAAACTAATGGTTGCCTCAAACCCATTACGATGTCTTCATTTGGCCTATTATTGGATCCATTACTTGAATGACAATCTGTTTGTTTACTCTTCAATTCACAATTTGATGAGACATTACTGTCAGAGTCTTGTTGTCCATTATTATCAACCGTCTGTTCGCCGCATAATTTCGTAAAGAACTCGTTAGTATTGCCATCGATTATTGATTGCCGATATTCTTCGACATCGAAGTCCACGTTATGGCACGTCTTGAGGTGTTTAAACAAAAAAGTAGTACTCGTATACTTTATATTGCACTTGTCTTTACGGCAATAATACTGTTTACGTTTACCGTCGGATGCGCTCGACTTCGCCTTATGGTCACCACAATTGGTGCCATTATTTGCATTCAATTCATTCCCAGATATCCTATGATTTGTTACTAAAGTTGGATCCGATAGTAAAGTCTTGGGCAGTATTTTACGGATACTATTATCACGAATGACCGGTAATTGTGGTGAAGTTTTTTCGATTGAATGATCACTTGTTTGTCCACAAATTGCTTCATTACTTGCGCCACAACTGACTGTCTGTGGATAGTCTTCAGTGTTGGAAGTGTTGAGTGATGTCTTGTTGTATGCTTTTTGTAGACAACTGTAGACATCGTTGCCGTGAATATCAATATAGCATTTGTTAACATCTGATGACATATTTTGTGACAAATCTTCATTTCTTTCCACTTTTAGCTCACGATTGCATTCATCGAGACTTATGTCTCCCAACGGATCCATTGTTTGTCTTGTTTTCATGACATCAGTTGTCATAAAATGTTGTGACAATTCCTCGAAGTCCTGAATGTCTTCCCATTTCATAAGATTTGCATATATTGAGTGAATTTTAATTAAATGTGTTTTCAATTTGTTTGCAAACAATAACTCATTTAATAGTCGTTTGTTTTCATTCATTAATTCATCCAAAATATCATTAATACTAATAATGACTAACTTTTTACTATTCATTAAATCCATAATTAAATATTTATAAACAAAACACTTAAACTTAAGGGACTTTTATGTCATTTATAAACATTTCAAAAGTTTTAGCGGTAAATGAATTATTCATTAATCGTTTGTACAATCAATTGATTATAAATTGAATTCAATATGTTTTATATGATTGGTATAAAAATGATAAATAAATGCATAAAACAATTGATTTACAAAACCAAACAAAAAGCAACTTTTTGTGAATGAATGACACGATTAATAGTAAACACTACAAGACATGTGCGAAACACGTGACCAACAGATTGTTTACTTTAGTGAACTGTTCACACCCTGTTAACACAAATTGTAACACTCTTACACCACACCCTTTACTTTGAATACACAATCACTCGTGTCTTTGGGTGACAATTGATCCCATAATCTCGTTGTCCACACCATCTGTCGCTCCAGATGTCACTCAAGAACATCCTATCGCTGAAGAAGTACTCGTTTCTGAAGCAACCGAAGGGATCGCCAAATGTGTTGTTAACCCCATTATCGCAACAAATCAAACAAAACATTGCATTTGAATGGTTTGAATATAATATTGAATTTTGTTGTCTAATTGTGTGAATAGTTTTATAATTAATGTTATGATTATTAGGATTAAAAGCATCCGAAAATTACCATCAGTGGAGATGTTTGTCACGCCTTTCATTACACACACGGAACCGCTGATCGGTGACCAAAATAACATGAATGATATTTTGCTTAAATGTATGGATCAGTTGATAGATACTAAACAAATGGCGTGTATTTTACTAATTGTTTGTTTCAATTGATAGCAATTTTAGACAATTATAGCGATTATTATAAGGTGTGGAGCGAAGGCATGACTGAAACCGTGGGTATTATTCAACGATTTGTATGTTTTAATGGAAACAAATTTTTGTAAGTTTTTGTAACTAATTTGTTGACAAAATTATTATTAATTCATATTTTAATGTTTGAAAATAATTTAGTGAACAAAAGACAAGCGATTGTCTGGTATTTGCGCTGATTTGTCAAAAACAGGAAAGTCTTTATTGGTTTCAAAAACTACAGGGAAGTCATCACCAGTGGTTCAAAAATGTATGCAATCAGTCATTTAATTGTCATTTAATTACAATATTATTAAAATTAATCTTTAATTAACTCAATCTGTACTCAAACTTCACGCATAGCTATCGAAATCTCCGTTAAAATCCAAATATTTTACTCAAATTGAAGAAAATGATCGACAAATATGTTGTATTCATTATCACATAGAGAACAAGTGTCCGCAGTTGGAGTCAATTGAACACATCAGCGGCTCATCCGTTAAGACAACACATCCGGCGTTAACCGATTCCGACATTATTTCGTGTCAAATAGATTTAGACAACTCTTTAATCGCTATATTAAGCGATGCCTTCACTACGAAGAAGTATGAGAGCGGTAAATCTGTGACCGTATGTACAGTAGTATTGGACTAAACGTGTAATTAATAACTAAATCATTGAAATATATTGTGAACAGAAAATGAAATTTGACGCCTCGTTAGCGCCGTTCAAAGTTGGCTTCACTTTTCGCGACAATGTCTTAATAAACGACGTTTTGTTGGATTTAACAAAACATTTGATACAATCGTTGAAACTCTTCGACATTCCTGTTCTCCCATTCGCGCCAAACAAATTGGTTTCAATCGATCAGTGAGTTTACATTCAATGCGATAAAACATGATTTATTGTATTGTATTATAATTAATGTTTAAACAATCAAATTAAAAGTCACGACGAGTTGGGTATTGTATACACCGTTATATTGGACAACGAGAGCACTCAGATGGGTGTCGTTGGGCTCCGGAATCGGGACTCAGACACTGAGGTTTGTCCGCAACCATCGATTCAATCGTTTCATTATATGATATAATTATTTGTTTTATTTATGATATAATTAACCAAAAAATGAGTACAAAATTAATTGTTGATAATAATTGATAGGAAAGCGTTCACATCTCACGACTTCAACAGACATTATGTCTTTATCTCAATGTTATTCATCCGTCGATTATTCGTAATAAATATTAATAATTAATTAATAATTATATAAAAATTAAATATATTTTCTGTTCATTGTTTTGGATTGTTTTCCTGTTTTCATTGACACACTATTTATATAAATCAGTGTTTTTATACGTGTTTAACATTTAAAAAAGTTTAAACCATTTTATAATATAAAAATCAATTCTATTAGAAATTTAATAATAAATAAATTATGCAGAGATTCACTGAAAAACAAAATAGATGGTCATTTCTATAATAAAAAATCGCCCTTGATGGTTTTTGTTGTTGTTATGTGTGTTAATTCATATGATTTTCTTAGAAAATAATGTTTTCAATTAAAAGCGAAGGCGAGAGAGACGGACAGACAGAGAGTGGGGGACAGCGACTAATGGTATGGCCTAATACTGAACACAAATGGTCGGGTCGTTGGGTAGACCGCAACCGATGATACGGGAGTCAAACGCCAATTTGACGGGACATTCAAAAGAGTGCAGGGTGAATTTGTTGATGTATTTATCCCAATAGCACTCGTAGTATTTGTTACAGTCGTACGGGTGCTGGAAAAGGCCGGCTCGAGTGCACGCGGACTCCGGCACTGACGTGTCGTTGAAGTTGCGGACACCCGGATAGCCGTTGCCAACGGTGAGCGTACTCTGAGGGCTGACCGCCGCACCCGTAATGGTCGGCAATTTGTCTTTGCTCTTAGCGATGGTCTCGTCCTGATTGACGCTCACTTCCGGTTCGTCTTCGTATTCAATGTCTTTGATTATCTGGTGATGTTCTTTGACTACTTGTCGCTCAACAACTGGTTCTAAGAAATGACAAGAATTTAAAAATAATTTATTTTAGTAAAAAGTTTTTACGTTTTATAATGAATACAAACCCTGAATGGGAGGCAATGTTTGCTCGTATTGGTGAACAACTGGCGCTCGGGTCGACTGAATCTGTGGTCTCTGGCGCTGAACCGGCTCTTCGACGTGTGGTCTACTTATAGTCGGTTTGACGCCATTCCTGAAGCCATAGCGTCCGCCGTCTTGTGTCTCGAGAGATGGCTTTTGGTTGACATTTGTGTAATGAGTTTGTTTGACGTCCTCTTTATAGCCGTCGATATAAACCACTTTAACGTCCGGCGAGTGGCCAGAAGTGTCGGCCGAGTTGTGCTGATGCGACGACGGCTTCCGAGTGATGGACACTTCGGCGCCGTCTTTACCCTCGTCTACGATAAACACTTGGATCTGTGGCTTCTCCTCTTGCGGCGGCTGTGACTGTGGTCTCGCTCTCTGGATATCGATGGGCGCGTCGGTTGGCATTTCGGTGACCGGTATCTCGTGTACTGTGGTCTGAGTGGTCTTCGGGCGGCGAGTGGTGGTCGGCCTCTTCGCGAATGAGGGCCTATTCCTCACCCGTGGAATCGTTCGCTGAGTTGTGGTCGTAATGACCGAAACGGGTCGGCTCTCGGGTGTTGTCCGGGCGGTCGTCGACGCGATGGTGATTACGGTCGGCGGCGGCGGTGGGAGAGTAGTGGCCGTCTCCGCAACCGGCGGTCCGTCTGAATCTTTATTGTTTGGTTCGTTAAACATTTCGTTGCCGTAAAAGTCGTACCAATTATTTAATGTTAGGTTTGGGTTAAGAAATTGGGGCTGAAATGAGTGCTCAGATGGCGGCGGGGGTGGAGGTGGCGGCTGTTGCGGCACATTTGGCGGGTATCCAAACCCGGACTGAAGCGTATAGAAGGGATTTAAACCCGGTATTTGCGGGTATGGATTGTATGGCATAACAGGTGCGTTATATGAGGGTCCCATTGCCTGTTGATACCACGGCAACTGTCCCACCTGTCCCGGAGGCCACGCCATACCATTTGTATGATTGTTCACTGAATTATATGTCGGATTGTAGAGCGGGATGTGCTCTAAGATTACCGATGTTTGCGATGGACTGACCGCTGGGGCCGGCGTTGTTGTAGTGGTAGTTGTGGTGATCTCTGGCAGAGGACTGGGTGTGTGAACCGGCGGTTGAGACCATTGGTTCTGAGCAATCAATTTCTGTATGGAGTCATAGATAGAGGCCTGAAGTTGCGGATACTTTCCGCTCTCAATCGAGCCGTGAAGTGATGGAAACAAGTGATGATCGGCTGATGAGATGGTCTGATACGTGACGGGAATCAATGGCTGAGCGGTTGTGGACTCCGGTCTCTGTTGGTTATATTGAACGGGATATTCATTGCGGATGATCTGATACGGCGGCAGATTCTGGTACTGTTGTTGGTGTTGTTGAATGTAAGGCGCTGTCAGCCAATCGTCTTTCACTTTTTGGACAATCGATTGAAACACTTCGGACTTCGGGCGCGGGATCTCAAACTTGATCACAACCGGCGGTTGTGTGACATTAAACGACACGAGTTTGGGTACCGACTCGTAGAGAACGGGTTTGGGTGTTGCGGCTGTTTTGGGCACTAAAGCCACGAGTGTTTTCGAGTTTTGGGTCTCGAGATTATAGAGGCGTCCGTCGGTCTTACGGAATATCTCGTGGATGTGCTGACCGGCGGCCACAGCGCCGTCGCCCGTGCCGTTCAACAGACCGTTTTGGTCGTTATTCAACATTAACATTATGTACTCGTCGTTATTGAGGGTCGGACTCGACGGTGACGGCGCGGCTGTGGACGGGTGGGTGAATATGACTCGCGGTCTGGCGGTAGTTGTCTTCAGCGGCTCAATGATCGGCTGATGTCTACCGTTATCGACGGACAAACCATTTGGGAACAGTTTCGGGTACTCTTTCGATATAATCTGATCAATATTTGAATACTTGTGCTGTTCTGAAGAGTACTCGTCGGCGACGGGAACTATCAGGAGCTGAGACTTTTGCGGCGGCGGAGCCACACCTTCCTGACCATTGTGTTGATTCTTGTGGCGAATATCTTGAGCGGAACTGATTCGGTTGCCATGGATTTTGTTGGGATTGTAAACCACTCTTTGCTGATTCGGGTAACGATTGCTGGCGTACTGTTCGTTAATGGAGGCCGAAGTTTCCAACTGTTCCGCAGTCGGTCTCCTATGTATTGTTTGCGTATATTCTTCGGCCACAACTCTTGGTCTGTCGACTGGAACTCTATTTGGTTTAGACTTCGGTTGATATACGGTTTGTGGTTGATTTTGACCGCCAGTTACCGCCGATGGCCTCTCCTTTTGCGAAGTGGCGGTTATTTTTGTGGACTCAAAATCGGGAACATTTGGCAAATATAGGACTTGTTGTTGCGCTTCCATGTCTGGAGACCAACTCATTGGTGATTGTGGTCTTATTTCAAGAGGTTGTTCTGGATATGCGTTAATTTGTGGTCTTTGTTGTTGTTGTGGTTTATAGTGTGGTTGCGGTGACGGAGAAATAGATCCAGACTTTTGCGGCTGATTTTGTTTCACTTGTTGTGCATTCAATTCGTGTTGAATTACGGGCTTTTGTGTGGGATTTCTATTGAATCTGTCGGGAGATTGAGGCTCTCTATGGATCGGATCTCTTTGAATGGGATCTCTTTGAATGGGATCTCTTTGAATGGGATCTCTTTGAATGGGATCTCTTTGAATGGGATCTCTTTGAATGGGATCTCTTTGAATGGGATCTCTTTGCTGATGAACTTGTGGCTGAGGTTGAGGTCGACGACTATTCTGCTGACTATTGTGTTGTTGTTGTTGTGGAGGAATTCTGTGTCTAATATTCTGGTCTTTAATATTCTGGGGAACAACTGGTTTGAGTGGTCTCTGAGGCAACGGATTCTGGTTATGATAGTGGAAAGAATCGGGTATTTTATAGCCTTCTGACGACAATTTAAGCCATTCTTCCATTTCTATGTTGTCTTTATTTTTGGGCAAATCCTTAGGCTTATGAAGAATGGATGGTTGCGGTGGCGATGGCTTCGAGTCCTTATTCATTGGTATCTTAACCTCTTTGTTGGGATTATTGGCAAAATGAATGGTCTGTACTTCACTCTTGTGATCACCAGACGATTCCGACAGCGAATACTTGAATGAATCCAACAGTTTTTGGTCGATATTATGGAAACTAATCTCCGATTCGCCGCCCAATTGGTCCTTATTCTTCTCATTACCACCGATTATCTGTTTAATGGGCTTTTGTTTACCGTTATTATTATATCTGGTCGACTGTTCAGCCGATGAAGGCTTGCCTTCGGGTCTAATTTGATCCAAATTAAGGTCTTCGGGTTGGAAGTGGAGAATTTCTGTGGGAACCATTCCGGGACCAAATCTTTGGCCGTTATTCTTCTTATAACCGCCGGGAATGGGATTCAATGGCAACTGTTGTGGCATATAATGAGGTATAGACTCGAGCTCTTCCAGTGTTTGTATCAACAGGGGTTCGGCAGCCGATGGGAAGTGAAATTTAGACTTTGAACCCTTATTATTCTTCGGCGGTCTACCAGAGAATGGCTTTGGCTTCGGATTAATAGCCTGTTGCGTGACTTTCACCGCATTTGACGGCATTCCCATCGGTTCCCGGGATTTCTCATTATTGCGATTCCTGTTCTTGGAATTCCTCAGCGGTATTATGTCCTGCAGTTTCTGTACGGTTCGTGTGATGGCAGACAACTGGAAGAGTTCTGACGGATCTTGTAATGCGGGGAACGGAATGTTATTCACGGGAACTCTTTGGCGTTTCTGGTGCTGGGCTTGCGATGGCTTTCTCGGCGGTGACTGTCCTCTCACTTTGTTTTGCTGTTGCGGTCCTCGAATGGGACCGTCGGGTCTGAGCTCTAGCATAGGAATACTGACCAATGGGTCGCCGATGAACGGCATCTGCGGACCAAAGCGTTGATTTTTACCGCCCTTTGTGTCCGAGTTTTGACGCTTTCTCTGAAGTCTCGGTATATAACTGTTGACACGTGAGAGCCATTTGTTGGACGACTGGTCGTCACTTCGGGAGTGGATTTTGGAGTTGATTTTGGTGGTCAGCATTGACTTCAGCCGATGGCCGATATCGCCGATCCATTTGGTCATATATTGACTGATCCGACGGAAGCGTCCGCCCTCTTTGGGCGGCATTGGACTCATACCACTGCCGGTACTTAAGCCAACGCCCGCGGCCTCATTGATGAGCGCGGCTGTCGGCGAATCGACGTCAATATAATCGGATCTCTCCATGAATTTATCGCCCGACTCATCGACATCACTGATGGACACTTCTGGGGCCGACTCGGCTGCCAATGGCGGCTGCGACGGACCGTTTTGGTTAAGCAGTTCTGGCAGATCGCGAATCACCTGATCCTCGGGCGAGACGGGACCGCAGCCGCGGACCAACCACTTCCAGTTGCAAAGCAACTTCTCCTCATCGAAGCCCAGATCGAACGGACACTTCATCTGATATGACTGTAAATACATTTTCCCAAAATCGGAACAATAGTAGAACTGTTGACAGTCTTCCGGGTCCTGGAAGTAGCCATAGGAGGGACACGAGAAGCGTTTCTTCGCCGCCACCGCTGTGGTGATGATCTCACCGGAGCCGACACAGGGCGGTGACCACGAGGGCCAGTTGCACAGCTCGTACCGCTCGTCAAACACCAGTCCAAACGGACAGTTGTATTGAAATCGTTCGGGTTTTTCGTCCAATTGGTTGAGTTTAACGCATCGGTAAAACTTTGAACAGTCGGTCGGGTGTCGGATATATCCCGAGTGATCGCACGATAACTGTTGGCCCGACTCTTCGCCAGACTCTTCGTCGGTCACTCTTTCGACGTTTCCGTACTTTTCGATGACCGCCACGAATGAGGAGTCAGTGGTCGGGTCCCGGATTACCAATGGATTGGCGTTACTATTCATGTAATTGATGTTATCGATGGGTTTTGTTAAAACACTTCGTATGGCCTGTAGTAATGGGAACGACCCGTAGCCGCACTTTCCCGAGTAGTCATCGTCGTTGAGGGACCAGAGGGCCAGACCTCCCAATTGTCTCAATACAGCGTATTTGGCCTAAAAATAACCATAAAGTTTTTACATCAGTTATCCCTACTCTATGTTTAATATGTTTAAAACTTTTATAACTTTAAAACTTCTATATCTCGTTTGAAAGTCAATATCTATTGTATAGAAATAATAAATTCAAAGTCATTTACTAATGACTATAATTGTATTAACAAATGACCGGTCATTTGTAAGTAAATCACAAAAAATTAAATTATAATTCAATCATTCATTGAGAAAACTAGTAATTCAAGTCAAGCCATGAATTAAAATATTCAATCATTATTTAAAACTTAAAGTGTGTGAGAGATGAGTGCGAGAGAGAGAGAGAGAGAGAGAGAGAGAGATTCCTGTATTTTTTATGTGTTAAGTGTTTAGGAAATAAATACATAATTCAATGTTAAGTCACATTAATTTTGAAACAACAAAAATGTGAAATGTAATCCCGGAGTCACCCATACATAGAAACACACATACATTTCATACATACAAATGAGACATACCTTCAACTTAATACTGATCTCATCGTCAAAACCGATCCACTTGTCCTTATAGTAAATATAGGGCGCCGTCAGGTCCTTCTCCCTAACCAGAGTCCAGTTAGAGCTGTCCCTAACGGCACAGATCTGTTACACGTAATCGCGTAGGAAAAAAGAAATATGTAATTTTAAAAATGACTTTTTTAATCGGCATTAATATAAAAAGTTTTAGTGTTTTGTTTTGTAATTTAATATTAGTGTCAGAAAAAGCAGTCAAAATCATATATTCATACCTTTGAGTGCGATATAATCACCTCTTCATTATTCCAGGCGCTGGCGGGCGAACCGGGATCTGTTTGCGATGTATTCGACAGCTTAAACAGCGTCCCATGCGATGGCACACCGATTATCAACTGGTCTTGTGGTAAACCCAATGCCAAAACCAAATCGATTACAGAATCCTATTTATTAAATGCAAAAACCGATGCATTTATTATTATTATAAATGATAATTAAATTCATTAATAATAAAAACCATTATTTAATTAACATTTGATGATATATTCTAATACCCAACGGATATTCATATTCATAATGTAAAGTGTTATGAATTCAAAGGTTTTTTGTATTTATTTTTCTGTCACTTTAGTTGAAGAGTAAAGAGGTTTTCAAAATATAATGATTAGTATAAATACGAACCAGAAATATAAAGAATAAATAACTTTTTGGTTTTTTAATAAACTTAAAAATTAATATTTTATATTAATTAATCAACATTTTATTTAACTTAAAAATTTATTGTAAACATAAAACACTTACTGTAATTTTTATTTTAAAAGATAAATTGAGCGTCATTAACTTTATTATTAAAGTACGTTTTATTGTAGTTACGAAAATATTTTGATTATAGAAAAAAACTTTGTAAATTAAATGATAAATTAATGATTAAAGTAAAAATTACCATATTTTCCATATCAGTCAAGCCGTGAAATTTTGACGGATGGACGAGTGTCTGAGGCTTGGGGTCAAAATTAAACGTCGGTAAATTCACAAAATCGACGGATCTATAATTACAGGCAATCATTAGTGCATTAATTAAATAAAGTTTTTCCCAACAAATTATGAAACAAAATCAATTGAAATACTTGTAAATCTCGGAGAAGTCATAATAATCGGCTAAATCTCTGGCATATTTTGATACTGTGATCGTCAGTAAGTACTGATCGGCCGTTTCGTTCAATGGCTTTAATTCTTCGTTTAATATCTATTATTAACACAAAAATGATTAACTATTGTTTCAGACATCGGAGCCCTTCCGGGACCGCAAAAAATCACTTACTCTAAGCACCGACAGTAAAGTATCGCGTTTAGTGATCTGATTATGGGACTCCTTGAAGTACTCCCAGTCCAAGTCGACGCCGTCTATGCCGTGTCGGTCGACAAACTCGCGGACCCGTCGCGCGAATTTGGTCCGCACGGCATCGGCCGAGCTATTGGTGGCCAACGCGTCGTCAACAATAAATTGGTTGTTTGACGGCCTCAACGATAGTAACACTTTGAGGGCCGGGTTTTGTTGCTTTAATGCCGACAAATACTTTAAATCCCCTGATTTTGNAAGAATAAATAACTTTTTGGTTTTTTAATAAACTTAAAAATTAATATTTTATATTAATATTAGTTGTAAAATAAATTGAATTTTTAAATAACATTTGTATTTTGTGAATGACATTAAAAATAAAATTTTCTATTTAACTCGCAGTAATTGAAATAATAATTTCATGCAAAATAACATCAATGCTTGATATTTTGATTATAGAAAAAACTTTGTAAATTAAATGATAAATTAATGATTAGAGTAAAAATTACCATATTTTCCATATCAGTCAAGCCGTGAAATTTTGACGGATGGACGAGTGTCTGAGGCTTGGGGTCAAAATTAAACGTCGGGAGATTCACGAAATCGACTGATCTATAATTACAGGCAATCATTAATGCATTCATTAAATAAAATTTTTCCCAACAAATTATGAAACAAAATCAATTGAAATACTTGTAAATCTCGGAGAAGTCATAATAATCGGCTAAATCTCTGGCATATTTTGATACTGTAATTGTCAGTAAGTACTGATCGGCCGTTTCGTTCAATGGCTTTAATTCTTCGTTTAATATCTATTATTAACACAAAAATTATTAACTATTGTTTCAGACATCGAGAGCCCTTCCGGGGCCGCAAAGAAAGCACTCACTCTAAGCACCGACAGTAAAGTATCGCGTTTAGTGATCTGATTGTGGGACTCCTTGAAGTACTCCCAGTCCAAGTCGACGCCGTCGATGCCGTGTCGGTCGACAAACTCGCGGACCCGTCGCGCGAATTTGGTCCGCACGGCATCGGCAGAGCTATTGGTGGCCAACGCGTCGTCAACAATAAATTGGTTGTTTGACGGCCTCAACGATAGTAACACTTTGAGGGCCGGGTTTTGTTGCTTTAATGCCGACAAATACTTTAAATCCCCTGATTTTGTGCCGATAAATGATAGACAAAAAATATAAATAATTAAGAGTTTGTTTGAAAATTTTTAGGTTTTTTGTTAAAATGGGTCACTATTTATAAAAGTTTTTTTTACTTTAGTTTTAATCGTGTTTTATTTATTAAAACTTTTTAAATCCTAAACCCCTGTAATAATAGCCTGTATTTTGTTTGCAAAGATAACGTTTGGATATAATTTATAAAGAGTTTGTTTGTTTTGTCCGTTCATTACTTAATTGGAGAGAAGTTTTTCTCAGAAAAAAATATCGTTAAAAATCAATGATATGTTTGAAGGGATTAAATGATTTCAACAGAAAAAGTTAATTATTCTGTGAAAAAAAACAGTCCAAAAATTTCAACACAAAATTTTGTTGCTGTAAATGTGTTATTGTTGTTGTGTCTGAAAAATATATGCAAATTCTCATTGATTTTGAAACGATGACATTTTCATCTAGAAATCCATATCAAACTCCAAAATCGCACTTAAAATTATTTTATTTGCAAAAATATTTTAGTATTTTTTTGAGGATTTGTTTTTTATTTCTCGGTCTCTGGCGAGTGCTGTGTATGTGCTGTCTGTATGTCTGTCTGTTTTTCTGCCTGAGATTTATATGGATTTCTACTCTTAAATGAACAGTAATTTTTAGTTTTGCCATAAATTTATTTGTTGTTCCGTAACCTTAAGAGAGCATTGCTTTAGGGCAAGGATGTGCTGTTTGTCCCCCAAATGTTATATAACTGTACTGTTCACTACATACAGGTATATATGGTGTATGTGCTCTCTCTCTCTCTCTCTCTCTCTCTCTCTCTCTAACTTTTATATAACAATTATCAACACATTTGAAGGTTATCGCAATATATACCTAACATTGACCTAAATATACCCTTAAATAGATATTATAACACAGTTTTGTATACAATCTATCTATACATGTATGAAATAAATGCACTTTGTATTTGGTTCACATCTCTCTCTCTCTCTCTCTCTCTCTACTTCTCGAGATATATCTGATATTTGCATTTCTTTAAAAAAGTATGTAAACTATTGACTGCAAAAAAAGTCTAATTTAATAATAATTTCCATAAATAATTAATGATAACAACGAATATGCGCAAAATTTTGTGCAGAAAACAGATTATATCCGATAACAGACATAAAGAAGTGAACAAACAATAATAGTACTGACATATAAACAAACATTTGAGACATTTATCTTAAATATTAGCAAATTTTCAATCAAAATATTTTGAAATATACTTTATATAAATCAAAACATTTTTTTAATTACAAAAAAATAATTTCACGACTTTTTCAATCCTAGACTTATTTATTGAGTGAATTAAAGCGATAATTGAGAATAAATTATATATAATATTAAAAATTTGTGTCTCTTTTAATTTAAGTATTTATGCAAACCTGTTATGAAATATTTATGATATTAAAGTCATTTTTATTTATATTTCTTATTCTCTTGTTTTTGGATATTATTATTATTAGAAGTGATGCGGAGAGAGAGAGAGAGAGAGAGAGAGAGAGAGAGAGAGAGAGAGATCTAATTATAATTACCATCATTATTATTCACTCTCACCAACAGTTGATATACATTGTGCGTAACCCGAAGGACATCTGTGTCTCATACTATTGGTATCACAAAAACTTGGTATACATGTCCCACTTGGTAGACACACAATGGCCTGACTTTTGTCACCTATTCCTCGACGGCCACCTATGGCTGGGCGACTGGTTTGCAAACGTTAGCTCCTATTGGCTGGCGAACGGCTCCGGGAGGGCTAACCCGCGAGTACTATTCGTGGCGTACGAGGAGTTGGTTGTAGACTTGCCAGCGATGGTCCGCACAATCGCTCGCTTTTTCGGCAAAGATTTTACCGCCGAAATGGTGGCCACAATCGCCTCTCGCTGTTCACTGGACTCAATGCGGGCCAACCCTTTGGCCAATAGGTCTGCGTTTATGGCAAAACAGGGCAAATCCGGCGCCCAATTCATCCGTAAGGGCACAATCGGCGACTGGAGTCGGCATATGACTGATGAACAGTCGGCGATGTTTGACGAGACATACGGCCAGAGGTTGCGGGCGATTG